CGCTTTTGGCTACGTGACAATTCATTGTTGTGCATATTACCGCAAGGTTGCAAGTGGCATCACAAATTGCGGCGAAACACAACCCGGATCCCTTTCTCACGAGTATTCATAAGGTCGTGTAATCTCAGATTCATCCAAAAAAATGGAATAAATTTGGCTCGAAGCAACCGTTCAATAAGCGATAAGTGTCCTTTGAGTAGATGTAGTGGAGTGGCAAGTGACATGCTTACCACTCCAGGGTGGTCCGTGGGTCAAATGTCGGATTATCCCCGGGTCAACCAAGCGTTACCTTCTGAGGCGGTAAATTGGTACCAGATCCGTCTTGAAGAATAAGAACTCTTGTACTTGTACATCGGCCAGGCCCCGCAAGTCATTGTATAGGCCACATCGCATTCAATAAGCCACTACGATTCTGAATGGAAGTAGAATGCGTGCCGCATCCCACAAAGGGATTGATCTCTACGCCAATGATTTTGTCCTTTTTTATTCTTTTATGTGTCGACTGATGCGTCTTTGGACGGTGATTACGAATCCAACCTCCTTGTTGCTGCGTCTCTTTGAATTACAAGCTACTGGGTTTTCAATGGCATTATGCCAAACTCAACCAACTTCCAGTGCTAGGCTGCTCCTAATGTGACACCGCAACTCAAAGACAAGACAGCACCCGCGTTCAACTAATTTAGAGGCGTCATTCGTTTTTCAAGTACTCTGGTCCTCACTCTCTAGCACTGTCTCAAAAATTTATGCAAAAAAAAACTCGAAGGACACCAAATTCTTGAAGGTTTTTTAAAACATATCTGATCTAGCGATTTCGGTGCGTATCACCTTCGTCAGGCCTGAAATTATCTGGTTTGTTTTCACTTGGTTCAAGGTTGCATATCCAAGTGAAAACAAATTAAATAATTGTAGGCATGACGAAGGTGCTACGCACCGAAATATCGCAAGATAAGATATATTTTAAAAAACTTTTGAGACTTTTGCTGTCTTTTGAGTTTTTTTTTGGAATAAATTTTTGGAGTTTCACATTGCTATTACAAACTGAGTTCTTTCGTTTTCCCCCTCCCAATGCTGTTAGCCGGATCAGTGAAGAAACGATTAGCAGCCGGAGGCAGTGGATATCGCTTTGCTGGCATAAAACGGGTCTCTTGCACTTTTCCAAATTAACAGAAAGTTTAGGGATAGTGACGAAAAGTGCAGTAAATGCATTGATTTCATTACCAAAAAGGGCAATTTCGGTAACGGCCTTCACCGAAGCAATTATTGATTGATATTCTTTGAACTTTCGAGAGCAGTTATGGATGAACAGGCGCTAATAAGAAATTAGTAGTAAGTAGGCCTACAATTGTTCAAGATTTTTGAAATCTACCTGAACACAGATATAGAGGCATCCTCCGGGTTCTATGCATTGCCGCAAACATCCCATTCGGATACAGGAAATCTGAACGTCAACACTTAAGCGTCTACTTCTACCTCATGAAATAGCAAGAAACTCACAACCGTCCAGCCTTTTTCGGATCTTCTTCACGGCCACGCCAGTTTCCTAATATTGCCGTCACTTAAGTTCATGCGTTTTGTAAAATAGTTTTAAGAAAAAAAGAATTGAAGTACGCAGTAAGCACGAGACTAGAGGAATAGAGTGCGAAGAGACGCACGGCACGCTCAAACGATGGAATATGGAAGATCACTGACTCACCCACCACCGTGGTGTAATTTTCTGCATCTCACCTCACGCAATATTACACCAAACATATTTGAAATCACCATGGCTGTCAACAAATGTTTTGGGTGCTCCCCGCCCTTTTTTTACTTCATTCTTTTCCTTCTCGTTTTTTGTTCTCGAACAGAGATAGCTGCTAACCCATTTGAGGTGGACCATGCTGCACGCTGCTCTTCTGCTCCCTCCTCGCCGAGATAATATAGATAGGGTTTTTTAAACAATGAAGCATGAAGTAAAGGTCAACGGCGCTACTCTAGAATAACGACACTTATAAACTACTTTCAACCTGACCGACTATTTTCTACTATTTCCTTGTGTAAAGCTACGAAATATACGAGTCTAATTCTGATCATTTCATCAGTTTTTCTTTGCACTGGACGGAAAAGTTGAAAGGTCCCACAAGATTGTGAGCACAGAATGTGAAGGTTTTATTCGGGGCTGCGTTCATACCTCGCGTCTCAAGCCATTCAGTGGCGCAATTTCCGAATTGTGCGAGGTAACTGGCCGTGCTCCACAGCTAATCGTTGGACCGCTTCGACTGCTTATTCAATCACAGTCAGGATAGAGCTTATTTTGGATTTTGCAGCGGTCAAACAATAGGTGGTGGGACGCAGCTAGTCACAAAAGCGCGAGAGAATTGCTCGACTCACAAAGTATGAACGAGATCTAGGGTGTAGGGGAAGGAGCTCCAAGGTACAAGATCGAATTATTTTGTGCAAAAGGGGTTTCCGTGTTTCGTGAGAAGCCATTCGATTAATGAGGGGTTGTGATCGTTGTTTGGTCTGGTACCCTGGCTTACTTTGTCTATTCTCACATACTGTGGCGTTAAAAGGAACAAGTCCATAGACGCTGTCCCTAGATTTACTCTCCTCATCATTACGCGTTTTCCGCGGTGCCAAAGTCTTTCTGCACCAGTTGTTGAAGCGAGCAAATGACATGACAGCATTATATCCTTCGTATTACTCGTTTTCTACCACTTTTTGTCGCATACGCGTTTCAACGAAAAGGCTGAGAACGGCTTCAAACAGTGTGCGCACTCCTACTGGCTGATACGCCCCGACAGTCCGTAATGATGAGGAGAGTACACCCTAGTTCGCTGCGGACGGTTGGGCGTGTCAGCCAGTATGAGTGTGCACAGCGTCAAGGCCGTTCTCTGCCTTCTTGTTGAAATGCGCATGCGACAAAAAGTGGTAGAAAACGAGTAATACGAAGATATGATACAGTATTGTCACTTGCCCGCTTCAACAACTGGTGGAGAACGAGTTTGGCACCGCGCCAAACGCAGCCGCACTGACACGCCCAACCGTCCGCAGCGAACTACACTATACAAGTTGTTGTACTGTCTTGTCGCTGCGCATGACGGTGTCCCAGCGCGGCTGCGTTTCGCAGGCTCGTTCTCCACCAGTTTCTGAAGAGGCTAAATGTCTGCAACTGGTGGAAAACGATGATACGATATGATGCAGTCTTGTTGCTTGCTGAACGAAAAACAGAACAAAAAAAACGATATCGCCGCGCCAAACGCCCGCTGCCACGCCCTATCATCCGCAGCGAACAATACTGTCGTACTTTACAAAATAACTCGGTTTGTTGACAAGAATCAACAATATGCACCACCATTTTCCACCGACTCAAATCCAGCTACTAGAGAAGTATGTATGTAGCTCTAGGTTGGAGCTGTACCACGACGCAACTGCGCTGGTAGTAACGCTCACTGGCCATAGCGCTGAAAGGCAAGTCTTGCCCTATCAAGCAAACAACGAAACTGGCGCGACTGGAAAAAGTGTCGTAGCACCTATACAATTGCTCTTTTATGATTCTCAGCCAGTCCCGCCCGTCCACTTCAGTCATATTCTTCAATCGTTTCGGGCTTGTTCAAACAGATCCGGGCACTATTGAAACTATTCCTACCCCAAAAACTCAAAAAATTTTCGCTGAAACTTGTCTATAGATGTTATTCGATGTCCTGATCACGAATATGACATTCATTTCTGGCGCTGGCGCCATTTGGCGCCAACAGGCGCCAACACTTTTCTCGCCAAATTTGATGCAAACTTGTATACGGGGGTTAACTGACATCCTGATCACGAATATGGCATTTATTTTTGACGCTGGCGCCATTTGGCGCCACTAGGCGCCAATTTGGCGCCACACCTTTTCTTCCCAAAATCGTTAAAAACTTGCGTAATAGGGTTGTTTGATGCCCTGATCGCGAGTATGGCATTTATTTCTCCATACCAGCGCCATTAGCGTTCTGCTGAGGCTGAACCTGGGAAAAGGAGTGATTCCTTCAGGCCAGGCTCAGTCTAGCAAAGCGCAGATGACCATAGTGTCCTACGTTAGCGCCAAGAATAAATGTCATATTTGTAAACAGGATGTCAAATAACCCCCGTATACAAGTTTTCATCGATTTTGGTGATTTAGGGTGTTTTGGCGCCGGCGCCTGTGGCGCGGGCGCCAGGCAGGTTTCGGGCCCAAGCGGATGTGATATTC